ACCCAGCAGGAGCGATGGAGAGATCTTCAGATTCCTCTTATTTGTTTAGGATTTGGAGGTGCCCAGATGAGGCCCAGCTGTGAAGCAATGCAAGTTGCTGTGGGGCCTTGGGCTTTTTTTTTTCTTTTGGTTGTTCTGGGTCTCTCTGACCCAGCTGCAGTTTGTTAGGTAATTTTCAGATTGCAAAGGGCCAGGCCTTTCATATGCAAAAGCCTCTACGCACAGCTTGGGTGGGGCGGGGTCTCAGGGAATCAACAGGGCAGAGATAACAGCTATGGCTGCTCCTCAGTCCTACCCTCAGAGGTCCTACCCTGCATCTCAGTTTCCCGGTAATCTCGCTGCAAGCACCTCTGAGACAAAGCCGCCCTTGAGCTCCGACCGATGCCAGACAGTGCAGTTTCTCCCCGTATGAGTCTGGGTCCCCAGAGACTCATCTGGAACTGGAGGTCAGAGCAGTTGGGAGCCTGAGACAACCTCTCAATTGAAAAAGACAACTGCGTCCTCAGTTGCCAGCCCTTTCTGCGTTTGCCTCCGTACCTCTGCACCTCCTCTGAGTCTCAGTGAGCTTTTCTCTTTCCTTCTAGTTGTAGAATTTCCACTCAGCCAGCCTTCCTGTGGTTCTGGTTGATGTCTGTTTTGACTTTTAGTTGTATTTTTGAAGTGGTTGTGCAAGGCAGCAATTTCTGGTGTTTACCTATGCTGCCATCTTGGTTTCTCCCAGGCATCTGTAGAAAGTTTTTAATACATATTTTGTATATTAACCCCTTATCAGATACATGATTTGAAAATATTTGCATGCATTCTGTAGGTTGCCTTTTTGTTATTGTTTCCTTCCCTGTGCTACTTTTTAGTTGATGTAGTCCCACTAATTTATTTTTGCTTTTGTTGCCTTTATTTTGGAGTCAGATACAAAAAATGATCAAGACTGAGTCAAGGAACAGTTCACTGCCTATATTTTCTTCTACAAGTTTTATAGTTTCAGGGTCAGGACTCAGCTTCTAAACTCTGCCTCCTCAAAGGATCTTACCAGGGCTTGGTTATAGGTATTGTTAGAATAGGTCTAGAGCAGGGGTGGGCAACCCCTGGCACACGTGCCAAACATGGCACACCAGTAACTTTTGCCGGCACTCGCAACCCTCTCTTATAATCTTCCATTTACAATTTTTTTCTTAATATTGACTTTTTTATTTTTCAGATAAATTCAGTGTAGGTGCATCTTACATAACAAGTGATCTTAAAGACCATAGACATGGATTGACGAGAGAGGGGAAGAGCAATTTCTATGCCTCCGCCTTAACTCTCCCTCCCTTCCTAGATCCGACCAGTGTTTTGGTTTCATCCATATACGCTTGTGAATCTTTGTTCTCAGTGATGAATTTTGTTAAGTCTCGTAATAGGAGTAGCCTGACGGATGAAAGTAGTAGCTCGTGC